GTGGATGTAGGGAGAAAGGGACGCTCTTTCACTGTTGGTGGGAATGCTGACTGGTCCAGCCTTTCTGGAAAACAATATGGACATTCCTTCAAAAACTAGAAATTGCACTTCTATATGACCCTGCAAAATCACTTCTGGGAATATATCCTGAGGATGCAAAAAGGCACAATATAAATGACATCTGTACCTATATGTTCACTGAAGCACTGTTCACAATAGCCAGAATCTGGAAATAATCCGAGTGCCCGAGAACAGACAACTGGTTAAAGAAACTTTGGTACATCTACACAATGGAATACTATGCAGCTGTTAGGAGAGATGGAATCATAAAATTTGCTTACAAGTGGATGGACATGGAGAGTATCATGCTAAGTGAAATGAGTCAGAAAGAGAGGGACAGACACAGAGGGACTGCACTCATTTGTGGAACATAAAATAACATAATATGAGACAGACACCCAAGGTCAGTAGACACAAGGGCCAGGAATATTGTCTCTTAGTTGGAAGCCTGTCTCATGACCTGGGGGAGAAGGCAGCTAGGATAGAGAAGGGATCACTGAGTCAATGATGGTTGGAGGAATCATTTGGGATGGGAGATGTGTGCTGAAAGCATATAAGGGACCATACATGATGGCCTCTCAGTATCTGTATTGCAGACCATAATGTCCCAAAGTAGAGAGAATGGGGGAAACTGTCTTCCATGGAGGCAGGGGAAGGGTTGAAAAGGGGGGCTATACGGGGGCCATTGGTGGTAAAGAATGTGCACTGGTGGAGAGATGAGGGTTTGATCATTGTGTGATTGAAACTCAAACATAAAAGCTTGCAACTATCACACAGTGAATCAATAGGCCCTCCCGTTGATCGTCGATTTGCTCGAGCAGGCCCAGTAACGTCTCCATTGGAGACTTTGTTGTTACTGTGTTTGGCACATCGAATACGTCACGGGGAGCTTGCCAGGCTCTGCCATGCGGGCGAGATACTCTCGGTAGCTTGCCGGGCTCTCCGAGAGGGGCGGAGGAATCGAACTCGGGTTGGCCATGTTGGCTGCGTGCAAGGCAAACGCCCTACCGCTGTGCTATCGCTCCAGCGCCCCAGTGATTCAATAATAAAAATTAAAAGCACTGTAGCACTGTCCTACCATTGTTCATCGATTTGCTCGAGTGGGCACCAGAAACGTCTCTATTGTGAGACTTGTTGTTACTGTTTTTGACATATTGAAAAATCATGGACAGTTAAAAAAAAACAAACAACTAACCTTGGGGCTGGAGCCATAGTATGGGGGCTCAATGCCCAGATTCCTGCCAGGAGTTATCACTGAACACAGAGCAAGGAGTAAGCCCTGAGCACCTCTGGGTGTGACCCCAAAACAAACACTACACTGTAGTACTTTACTCCCTGTTCATCGATTTGCTCTAGCGGGCCCAGTAACATCTCCATTGTGAGACTTGTTGTTACTGTGTTTGGCATATTGAACACGTCATGGGTAGCTTGCCAGGCTTTGCCGTGCGGGCGAGATACTCTCGGTAGCTTCCCGGGCTCTCCGAGAGGGGCAGAGGAATCGAACCCAGGTCGGCCTGGTTGGCCTGGTCGGCCGCGTGCAAGGCAAATGCCCTACCTGCTGTGCTATGGCTCCAGCCCCAAAACAAAAACCCCCAAAACAAAAACTCTCAAACCCTGATCTGGAGAGGTAGGGGAGATTGAAGAGGCTGGCCTTGCATGTAGAAAAGCCCAGTTTGGTCCCCCAAGTGCTATCTGAAGCCCTTTCTGGGCACAGAATAGCCCCCAAGCATCACGGATAGTCCCAACACCTCCCCCTGGTAAATCCTACAGACTCCACAAAAGGACTGTTGGGAGAAATCACCACAGAAACATTGCAGGATGAAAATCAACACAAAAAAGTAAGCTGACCTTCACACACTAACAAATAATTCAGAAAGAAAATAAAGAAAACAGGGCTGGGGCAGAGAGCCAGGAAAGGGGAGAAAAGTACATCCCCTGCACACAGCCAACCCCAGTTCAATCCCTGGCCCTGCCCATGGTCCCCCAGCATGCCAGGATCCCGAGCACAGAGCGAGGAGCAGGCCCTGAGCACCGCCAGAAGGAAGGAAAGACAGGAGGGAGGGAAGAAGAGCGGGAGGGAAGGAAGGAAGGAAGGAAGGAAGGAAGGAAGGAAGGGAGGGAGGGAGGGAGGGAGGGAGTTGGGTTGTGACTCCAGTCCCCCAAAGGAGGAAATAAAGGTAACAACGCAGCGGGCAGGGCTGTGACTCTGTGGTAGGGTGCCCACCTTGCCTGTGAGGTACCAGTTCCCATTCTCAGTGCCACCCCCACTTTGCTGAGTGTCATCCCCAGCACAGTCCTTTGGATCCCCAGCAGTACGTGACCAACCCCCGGACATCAAAACATTTATGGTGCCTAGCCTGTCTCTTTCCCATGCCACGGTAGCTTACAGTTTGCCCTGTATCCGTCCAAACCCTCGCCAGGCCAGGCCCCTCCTTTTGGAATGTTAGCAACTAAGGGCAACTGAGGCTGAAGTCAAGTAAATGTAACGGATGCCCAGGAGTATATATTTCAACAAAGGGGGTGGAACAGAAGGGAGGAAATAGACATCATTTACAATCACACCAGGACTAACCACGGACTTAGAAACACTGCAATGAAGACCATGAAACACTGCTGGAAAACCGAACGCCATAAACAGTGCTCGTGGATTGCAAGACGTACCACTGCTAAAATGCCAGGCCAGCCCAAAGCAGTCTACACGGTCAATGCAATCTCGAGCAACATCCTAACAGCGTTTCCCCTTCAGAAACAGAAACAGCCATTATAAAAGCCATATGGAATCTCAGAGGATCTCTGCTAACCTTGTGAGTAATCTTGGAAGAGAGCAACAAGCTGGAAAGCGCTTCTGATTTCAATCTGACAGCAAGGGCGCAGGAATGTAGAACGCAGTGAGCCGGGAGGGGCTGGGAGGGACTGCCAGGGCGCCACAGACCGTCCGGCAGAGACCCCGAGCCACTGTCCCGAACACAAACCCCACCGCCAGGAACACTGCGTACCAAGCCAGCAGCCCACCCAGCCCTGCTGGGGTTGCCCTCCCCCGCAAACCGTGCTACTGCCGTAAGGACGGACATGGGCGGCCAGTGAAATGCAACTGAGAAACAGGCCCTCATCTGCATGGACAGATGACTTCTGACAAAGAGCCCACCGCTCGGTGGTCATCGTGCAAGAAGTGATGCCTGGCACATGAAATCTGTGCGTGCAACGGGAAGAAGACGGACGCTGGGCCAGAGCCAACGCCGACTCCCAGCGACCCGGACCTCGGAGCCCCAAACTCTCCCTTCACTCATTGGTTCCTTAGGAGAGTTCACTAGGTCCTCACAGACTTGGGGGGCGGCCGTCGTAACGCAGGAACGTGGGGCAGAAATCCTAGGGGCCATTCAGAGACTGTTCCTGAGATAAAGCACCCAAGAACCAAGGAGAGGAGAGGACACAGCTCACGCAGTTAAAGCTGGAGTTTCAAGGGCCCCCCGCCCCCAAAGAATTCTCCCATCCCCAGCGATCTGAGTGAGGGGAAGGGAATGGGAACCCCCCCAAGACTGTGGCCTGGCCCTGGAGTATTTGCCCGGCCCACCTGGAGCCGAGCAGGCACTGGAGGAAGGTGAGAGATAGAACATGCTGGAAACAGCTGAGTCAGCCGGTCAGGTTTCCAGCTCCCTGGCCTGGGCACTGGGCCCTGGCCGCCACGTCACACCCCATTGCAGCCTGCAGACTCCTTCCCTCCCCATCGCCCCACTCGGGCCTCACTGGCTCCCAAAGCACTTGAGGCGACTCCTGCATAATGTCCAAAAATTGACACTTTTGTTTTTCTCTGTTTGGGGGCCACACCCAGTGATACTGGTTGCCTGGGGCTTACTCCCAGCCTGCAGTTCTGGGGCCCAGCTCTCTCTCAGGGCGGGCTGTGTTCTCCGCACACCCAGCAGGGCAGGGCTCCTGGTGCCTGCCTCTGCTCAGCAGGCAGGAGCAACTTTGGGCCAACAGGTGGGGCCAGGAAGGTGCTTCTGGGGGCCCCCTGCCGGCTCCCATCCCACCTCCCCATTCCAGGGAGAAGGAGAAAAAGACCTCTCGCCAGCCCTCCCCACCCGCCTCTAATGTCAGTGTATGTATAATGTTAAAACCCACCCTTGGGGCCAGAGAATGAAGCTGTTGAGTGTCTTGGAGGTGGCCAAACTGTCTTGGCATCGTATGGTCTCATGAACCCCCCAAGAGTGATCCCTGAGCAGTCAGGTTTGGCTCCAAAAACAGAAAGTAAAAAGTAAAAAATCCACCCTTGTACCCCCAAATCCCATATAATTTCAACAAAATTCTCGTGTTTCTAATACTCCCATAGAAATCAAATAGAGCCCTCATTTTACGGATCACTGTAACGAAAATTTGTTAAATTTCAAAGTAGAGACATAGCTGAGATTTCTTATTTCAGAAGTGCTGAAATGATGAAGTTGGGTTCGGTAAAATCGCTAATTTGAACTAGTAAGCTACTGCAAACATGTTGGCAAGGGGGGCTGGAGCCGGGCCAGCCCAGAGGCGCTTGACTCGCCTGTGGGCAACCTGGGTTCAACCCCTCAGGCACCACAGGGTGTGGCCAAAAAAAAAAAAAGAAAAAGACACAAGTCACGTGTATTTATTTGGTTGGTTTTGTTTCGGCCCGCTAAAGCCAGGGCTTTACCCTTCACCCGCGGTACCATCCCTCGGTGCTGAGATACTATTTTTAACGCATTTAATTGTGCCTGGCTGGTAATGCCCGTCGCGTGGAGCACCAGAACCCTCAGGGCGGGTCTCTCGAGCTGAAACCAGCCTGGAAAAGGCCACTTTTCGGGGGAAAAACAAAAACAAAACACAAAGAGGGGGCCACGTCGCGCGGGCCATCCACGTTCCCTGGAAAAGAACTGGACAACAGGGCGAGCGGCGCTTCCAGACAGCAGAGGACCCAGAAACGTGTGGAGTCGTTTTATTTGCCAGAATCGACTCTGGGCTACAAGCGCAAGCGGGGGGCCGGCCGGGCCGGGCAGGGCAGGGCAGGGCAGGGCAGGGCAGGGCAGGACAGGGCAGGGGGCCGCCGGGCCCCGCGCGCGCGCGCTGCATCTGGAAGGCACGGAGAGGCCGGGTCCCCGCGGGTGTGGACGCGAACGATCCGCTTAACCCTCAACAGTTCGCGTCCCATCTCCCACGTCGGCTCGACTCTCGGGGGGCTGGTGGCGGCGGGGCCGGGGACTCAGGCGGCTGCCGGGTCCGGGTCCAGGTCCGGGCGGGGGCGGGCGGGCGGCGCTGGCGGCGGGGGCGCGGGCGCGGGCTCAGCCGATGAAGCGCTCGGCCGGCCAGGTCTGCACGCTCGGGGGCACGCGGGCCACGGCGGCCGGGCGCGGGGCCAGCGCCTCCATCTCGCGCACCACCTGCGTGAACACTAGGTCCACCAGCATCTTGCTCTTGGCCGTGACCTCCAGGAACGGGCAGCTCCACTCGCGGGCCAGCTCGAAGCCGCGCGCCGGCAGCACCTCGCGGTCGGCGTCCAGGTCGGCCTTGGTGCCCACCAGCACCAGCGGCACGGCCTTGGCGCCCCGCAGCCGGCCCATGCGCGCGCGCAGCGGCCGCACCGCCTCGAACGAGGCCTCGCTGCACACGCTGTAGAGCACCACGAAGCCGTCGCTGTTCTTGATGTACAGGTCCTTGAGCGTGACCAGGTGCTCGGCGCCCACCGTGTCCACGATCTCCAGCAGCGCGGGCGCGCGGTTCACCTCGATCACCTTGCTGAACAGGTCCTCCACCGACGGCTCGCACTGCTCGGGGAAGCGGCCGCAGGCGAACTGCGTGGCCAGCGCCGTCTTGCCCACGGCCACGCTGCCCAGGAGCACCACCCGGTAGTCCCTGGCGGGCCGCAGCGCCGCGGTGGCCATGGCCGAGCTGGACGCGGAATGGCGCGCGCCGGCGGCGGCGGCGGAGGGGCGTGGGGGGCCGAGGGCGGGCAGAGGAAGTGCGGGGGCCGGCCGGGGCGCCGTGGGGAGGGGACACGGCCGCCCCGCCCCCCGCACCCCTGCGCCCGCCGGGAGAGGGGCGCCCGCCCCCCGGGGTAACCCGATGCCGCGCGGCGCCTGGGCCGGAAGCCGGGAGGCCACGGCGCTCAAGGTCAGCGGGGGGCGGGGGCGCGCCCGGACCCGGCCGGACCCGGCCGGACCGAGTGGCCGTCGTCGGGAGACCGCCCGGAGCGCCCCGGTTCCGAGCCGGGAAGCCTGGCCCGGGCTGGAGCTGGGTCCCCCGGGCGCCCCCAGCCCGCCTACGCCCCTCCCGAGTGGACCCCCAGCAGCCCACCCCGGCCTCGGCCCCGTGGGACCCCGCAGGCAGGCCGGGGAAGGCCGAGAGCTGAATGCGAGTGACCCCCAGAAGCGGGGCCCCCAGGCCCCTTCGGCCACCTTTCGGGCCAGGGGAAAGGCGGGAGCACGCCCGAATTCTGCGATGCTGGGCCGCTTGCCTTCCCTGCAGCCCACCGGGGTGCGTCCCCCAAGCCCCACCGGGAGTGACTCCCGAGCACCTCTGGGTGTGGCCCCCAAATCCAAAACGACTACATCAGAAGCCCTGGGGTTGTGCCCCACGACACCTGGAGCCGCCCACCCGCCCTTTCTCTGTGTTGGGGTACCACTGAGTCACCGGAGCCCACCCTGCGCGCTTGGCCACCGGCGGAGTCCTTTCCCCAGAAGCCCCGCCACTGTCAGCAGGGGCGCCGGTATCGGGTCACCGCCCTGGCTACCTTCAGGACAGACTCACCTCCCTCCCTGCCGGCGGCGGCTGCGGCAAGGAATAGCAGGCCACCAGCCGTGTGGGAAATGGCCAGATTTGGTGGCTGGGATTGGGGCCCAGCACGAGGCCCAGAGCTGCCCGTACTGCTGAACCCTGCCATGAATCCTCAAGAACCCTTGGGGATACCTCGCGCCCTCTGAGCACGGTTTGGGATGGCAGCACCCACTTTTATATTTAGGGGCTGCACCTGGCAGTACTCTGGTGCTCGAGGGACTCTGCAGCCCAGGGACCCAACCCAGCAAGCCAAGCTCTGCCCCCCCCACTATTCCATTGCCCCAACATACTCGTCAGCAGCCCCCACAGACCACTGTTGGGGGCACCAGGAGGGAACCACCTCAGGGGTTGCGAAAGGTCTGGTCACAGACCCAGGGTAGGGACAGCAGACCGACCACACCAAGCGCCGCCGCCTCTACACACTGCCTCTTCCCTCCCCACCTTCTCTCCCTTCCCCCATCTTTCTCCCTCTCTTCCTCTCTTGATCTCTTTTCCTGACTCTCTTCCTCTCTCTCTCTTTCCCCCCACTCCCGCTCTCTCCCTATCTCTGTCTGTCTCTCTCTTTCTGTGTGTCTCTCTCTCTTTCCCTCATGTTTTGGGCCACACCTGGCGGTGCTCAGGGGACCCCACAGGAAAGAATGGGAGCAGCACAGGCTCATGAAAGGACAGTCAAGCAGTCAAGTCATTTGAGATCTCCCCAAAGAGAAAAGGATTTCTAGAAATTACCAGCATTACTACGAGCACAAGACGGCGTTGGGCACTGCACAGCGGGTGAGTGTGGCTGGAGAGAGGCCCTGCGAGCGGCCCCGGACCCCCTGGACCCCCCGGACCACCCAGCAGAGCAGTATTGGCTCCTTGCTCAGAGAGAATATAAATGGCTCTTTGCAGCCTAGATTTTTATTAGACGATAAAAGTATGTATTGGGGGACTGGAGCGATAGCAGAGCGGGTAGGACATTTGCCTTGCACGCGACCGACCCAGGTTCGATTCCCAGCATCCCATATGGTCCCCCCCGAGCAACTCCTGTGCATCGCTGGGTGTGACCCAAAAACGCAAAAATAAATGAATAAATAAAAATAAAAATATGTACTGGGGTTGGAGCGATAGTTCAGCGGGTAGGACATTTGCCTCGCATGCGGCCAACTCAGGTTTGATCCCCGGCATTGTCCCCACAAGCGCTGCCAGGAGTAATTCCTGAGTGCATGAGTCAGGAGTAACTCCTGAGCATCACTGGGTGTGACCCCCCAAAAAGTATGTGGCCTTTGGGCCGCACCCAGGGGTGCTGAGGTTTTCCTCCTGACTGTGCTCAGTGGTCACTCCCAGGAAGGCTCAAGGAGCTGTATGGGGTACCAGGGGCCACACCGGCTGGCTGCATGTCCATGTGGAATGCACAGGCCCGCCCCTGCCCCGAGCCAGTAGGGTCTGTCCCAACTCCCTTAGTCTAGGCTCTTCCAACAGTAGAGCCCATGGCACAGGGCATATTTGAGAGCAAGGCCTCAGGGATCAGTAATGGGAGGCTGGGTAGGGGCGGTGGGCTGAGCAATAGTCCAGCAGGAAGGACGTTTGCCTTGCACACGGCTGACCTGGCTTCGATCCCTGGCATCCCATATGGTCCCCCAGCGTTGCCAGGAGTGATCCTGAGTACAGAGTCAGGAGTAACCCCTGAGCATCGCTGATTTGACTCAAAAAGGAAAAAGAAAAAAAAATGGCATCGTAGTCCGTTCACTTTTCTGCTCCAAGCTGCTGGGTTCTGCATTAAGTCCACCAGTTGCCCCCCCACGAGCCGCTCTCCAGCACGGCCACGACTCCAGAGCACAGAAACCAATCTCTTAATTATCTGACTCTCAGTAGAAATACTTCCAGGGTTAATTAGTAAAATAGCGGAAATCCAAAACCAACATTTAATTCTTGAACCCATCTATAGAAAGCGAATCACTTCACAATGCTTTTTCAGCATGTCTGATTGGGGGGGGGGTAAACTCTAAATAATAGTGGTGCATCTTTTATTGAAACAATGAATCTAATCAAAGCAGATAGAGTGTTAACTAGAATTCATTTGCCTTGCAGGCATTGGGAGGGGTGGGGGATGGGGTTTTATTGGGGTTCTTTGTGGTAAAAAATAAGTATTGGTAAAGGGAAAGGTGTTTGATATTTGCATGACTGAGACCTAAACCTGAAAGCTTTGTAACTTTTCCCACAGTGATTCAATAAATAAAGGTAAGGTAAAAGGTAAAGGCCCTCCCGTTGATCATCGATTTGCTCGAGCGGGCCCAGTAGCGTCTCCATTGGAGACTTTGTTGTTACTGTGTTTGGCATATCGAATACGTCACGGGGAGGGTCGGCCATGGAGCAATAGCACAGCGGTAGGGCGTTTGCCTTGCACGCAGCCAACATGGCCGACCCGAGTTCGATTCCTCCGCCCCTCTCGGAGAGCCCGGCAAGCTACCCAGAGTATCTCGGCTGCACGGCAGAGCCTGGCAAGCTCCCCGTGACGTATTCGATATGCCAGACACAGTAACAACAAAGTCTCCAATGGAGACGTTACTGGGCCCGCTCAAGCAAAATAAATAAATTATTTTTAAAAAATGGCATCGTGGTAGAGATACAGGCTGGGGGCATCAGAGCCCTTTGCTGACAGCTGCTGCTCTGACGATCACCATGGAACGCTCCAGAACTGTAGCTAGAGACCCCACCTGCCGTCAGGTCTCCGGGGCTGGGGGGGGAGGGGGGCTCCTCTGTGGTTTCCTTTCTTAGTGCTTTGGCCACACTGTCCAGAATCAACGATGTGGAACCAGAGGTGGTGGTGGTTTGGTTTGTTTGGGTCACACCCAGTGCCCAGGGCTCACTCCTGGTTGGGTTCAAGGGACCCTAGATGGTGCCAGGGTAGACCTTAGGTCGGCTGCGTGCCAGGCAAGTGCCCGACCTGCTGTGCTATTCCTCCGGACCCAGGGGAACTTGGGCGTTGCTCCGGTCATGCCTAGCTTCGGAAATGCCTTTCCAGGGGCCTGAGCACCAGCGCAGAGGTGCCCCCAAGCCTCCGGAGACCCTTCCGACAGCAGAGTGAGCTGGCCCCTCTCTGCTGCTGCGCTCACAGCCGCTCCCTGCTGCAGGCTCTGGGCTTCCCGCTGGGCTGCAATATCCCCCAACCCCTGCCCTCCTGCAGGCACACCTAGGGGTTCACCGCGAGGCAGGTGGGTTCTCTAGCTACAGTTCTGGAGCGTTCCACGGTCGCCTGCACTGCAGCGTGGACATGCCTTCCCAGCAGACCGCCGTGCTACTGGGCAGCGCCTCAACCGCAGGCTTTACGTTAAGACCAAGTTTGCAGTCACTGATTCCTTCGAGTTCTCATTTTGTTTTGTTTGGGGCACACCGGGCGGCCCCCAGGGCTCACTCCCGGCTCTGTGTTCAGGGATCACTCCTGGAGGTGATCGGGGGACCGTATGGGGTGCCAGGGATTGAGCTTGGGTTGACCATGTGCAAGGCAGGTGCCCTCCATGCTGTACCACTGCTCTGGCCACTGATACTTTAGGTTTTTACTGGAACAGCCGCTGAATTTCAGTGTCTGACCAGTAAGAGCTGTCTCCCTTCCATGTGTTAATTTTATGATTGGTGGTTGACAGTTGGTTCTGGTGTTGGCCCTCACACACTCCTTGCCCCCCAGACATGTGACCGCGGCACCATCCGGAGCCTGCCAGTTGGTGTTCCAGCTCAGACAGCTGGCGCCCAGCACTGCCGGCCTGCCCCAACCCCCCAGACATGCAGAGTTTCCAGCTACAAGGAGATGCCTCCAAAGCGAGCTTCCTAAGAGAGTCAGACACACAGTTCCACCATCAGTCCAAGGAGGGAAAGGTCCCCCAGAGCCGCCACGGGGCTGGTTTCACCCCGACTGTCCTTTGGGGCTAGAGCACAGTGGGTAGGGCGTTTGCCTTGCAAGCGGCCAACAAGGTCGACCCGAGTTCGATTCCTCCGCCCCTCTCGGAGAGCAAACTACCAACAGTATCTCGCCCACATGGCAAAGCCTGGCAAGCTCCTCGTGATGTGCCAAACACATTAATAATTGTCACAATGGAGATGTTGCTGGGCCCGCTCGAGCAAATTGATGAACAACAGGAGGACAGACAGACAGTGTCCTTTGGGGCGGGGACAGTGCCTGGAGAAACATTCATGGCCCAGTGCCCGCAGCTGTCAGTTCCAGAAGCCCCGAATTCTCAGAGACTTCCCT